TATTATTATTATTAAGTAAAAGTTCAAAATAAAGTTTTAGTAAAAATCGATATTTTGCAATATGTCTAATTCAAGAATAATAAGTCTTTAAAGTCCTTAAAGAAATGTATAACTTTTTTTTAGATTCACTATGCTAAAGGTTTGTATTATAATTTTATTGAAATAAAAAAATTTCAACAAGAGAACATTTTTTAAATATCAAATCTAAAACATGTTGTCTATAGTTTTTCTTGTTGCAATTTAATGTTCCATCTATGGTGGCTTTGATAGTAGGCTGGTAAACTTGCTTTAATCCAAACATGTAGCAGATCAGAAATCTAAAGATGTAATTTGGGAATGTCCAGCCAATGAGTTTTATAGCAGCACGTTGATTAGCAGTGTCAAAGTCAGACAGCCCTCTTAATTTATCGATTGGACAAGTCTCATTGTTCCCTTCTACTCCATCAGTCTCAAAACGTCCAATTTACACCCTGAATGGCAGTCAAACCCTGCAGTATTGAGCTGAGAGTAATACTGCTGTGACCTCTGCAGAGCTTTTCTCTGCCATTTTCTCATTTCATGCAGAGCTTTCAAGGCAACACGTCAAAATATTGACAGGAAAACAGAAGGATTTACACATTGCGTGATAACGGTCCTGTGGATGCCTGGAGGACATGAGTAAAACAAATCTCGAATATTTGTCATTAATACATCAGAAGAACATGAAAATCATAGGAAACAAACAATAAAGTAAGCAGTAGCTAGTTTTGTTGATGAAAAAGGGAATGATGGAAGTGGAACAGAATATGACAACAAAACGCAGCAGTGTGACAGTTTCTGAAAACCTCATTACTTCAGCAAATTAACTATAATGATTCACATGATTCACCTTAGGAAACATGCTCCCCTTTTTCATTTCAAAATCTTTAAGCATTTCCAAGCATGTTTTATCACAATTATTATCCAAGTGATTTCAGTTTATTTATGTAACACTAAACATTATTTAAGTAGTAATTTCATCTATTTAGCATTAATCTAAGTGCATAATCTTAAATACATTTATAGAGCCAGTTCATTCAAATCGTTCAGACAGATTGGACAAAATGTTTTCAAGAGGATTACATCTGATGCATTAACTATAAAAAAAAATCACTCCTGCTGCATGAAATTTAGAGGATAGTTGGTTGCTGTGTTGTATACTTTATAAAAACCCATCATATCCAGCAAGCATGCAGTGACAGTGAAAAGGAAACTCCCCTTTATTTATCCCCATGTTGTTGATGCTTTTTGTTATATATGAACTTCATGATTTTGTGACTGAAAATGGAAATAAGAAGAGGCCATACACCATTTGCATATTTTTCAGCATTCCTTGAGAACAGGTAGGACACAGGTTTGTCAGTTGGGCTTTACTTGTATGGCGGTTGTTTCTTTTTACTGCCACATGCTGGACTGGAGATGTAGTGCAGCTTCACAATATCCTCTCCTAGTCCATTACACAGATTTAAACAATATTTCTGCAGGCTTTTACAGCATCGGAAATAGAATGCGCACAAGTTACCCGGGTTTCCTTTTATCTGGGTAAAAAAAAAAAAAAAGAAGTTCCCAATTACTTAAATCCTGAGACTTGGGGTGAAAAATTGGCTCTTGGGTGCTAGGTGACACAGTTGTTAGCACTGTTATGTTTCTAAAGGTTAAAGAGTAAGCTGTTTTCAAAGAAATGTAAATCAGAAAGATGTAGTAAGTTCTGTACGATAAGGAGTGATGGGATGTAGTTTATTACTGAAGAAAACGCCATTGGATATTTAAAAAGCCTGTCCAACACTAAAGCATATAAGAAACAGCTGAGAAGAGAATAGTTGCTATAAACTTTGTATACTTTATGGAGACTTATATATGAACACTTGCTAAGATGGTTCAAATCTAAAATTAATACTCTGAGGAAAATACATTTTTACCAAAGGTGAAATAATACTATGGCTTTATAAGACAGTTTCATGATTATGCCCCAGAAAAACTAAAAATAAAAACCTGTATATTCACATTATGGATCCCAATCTGATTTCAGAATTGAATAAAACAATTATCCACCTAAGTATGTTTCACAAAGCTAGAAAGCTCTCATTTGAAGCCAACTTGTTATGTTGGTTTATTTCCTCTGAATAAAAGAAATCAATAAAAACCTTCTGACAGTGGCCCTTTTTACATTTTCCAAAGGGTAATGTAAAAACTGGCAAGGATTCATAAAAGTAAGTGAGAATGACTAATGTGTACAGCAGTGACTTCAGGAGGCAGTGATGAGTGTTTTATGAGGACAGAGCTGAACAGAAACTGACTGAAGTGACAGCTGAAGACTGACATGAGGGCTAAGGAAGCTGGTCGCCTTTTGACAGCTAAAACAGACTGAGAACTCCGTAGACGAAACATAACAGGCCTGATGCTCACAGGAGACTCTTACACATACTCCAAATGTCACTCAATGTATATTAGAGATCTCTGGAGGCAGTAAGAGGGGTCCGCAAAGGGGTGAGAGGAAAAAACATTGCTGATGTTTGACCTTTTAACTACGAAAAGCTATTTTTGACATTTTGAATTCTTCATTCACCATGATATTCAGTTCTGTTTCACTTTTCTATTGGAAAAAGGCTTAAGACAATCAAAAGAACAAATCCTTATTTTTGAAAAGAAAAAGTGTAAAATACCCTTTCCAAATGGTTGAAATGCATTTTTATTTGTATTTGAACCAACATATGCCAACTCTTCAAGCTCCTTCTGATGAAGCAGAAATTCATATCTATCTATCTATCTATCTATCTATCTATCTATCTATCTATCTATCTATCTATCTATCTATCTATCTATCTATCTATCTATCTATCTATCTATCTATCTATCTATCTATCTATCTATCTATCTATCTATCTATCTATCTATCTATCTATCTATCTATATATATATATATATCTATATATATATATAGATATATATATATATACATATAGATAGATATATATATAGAGATATAAATTCAAAAAGTTTATTTATTTATGTATTTTTTCAGCTGCTAGACTGTTTAACACCTTTATTCCTGTCCTGTCTTAAAAATCAAATTTCATTTAATTGTGGTGCCCCTAGTTTGAAACCCACGCTATCAAAAATATAAGCTGCAGGTGAAATATTGCAAAAATTCATATTTTCAAAATCCAAGCTATTTACACTTAAAATCTTCTTGTAGTCAAGCAAAAAAAGATACTCGTATGTGGCAGGATGTGGCCTAAGAAAAAAAACATGTCACAACAGCAAAATATGCCTTAACCCCACATATATTTAACTGACTCTGAAAACTTAAAGTCCTGAAGGTATTTTTGAAAAGGATCCAAAACTCTTCAAAACCAAGGTATTGGGCTATGATCACAAAACAATTCAATGTGATCATGCTGGGAAGAGTCAGAGAGGTTGAATGGCTTGGTGTAGGAGTTTAGTCATTGACTTAAGTCTGTGTCCACTGAAGATATAAGAAGAGTCAAACATTTAAACAACCATTAATTGTATAGCCTTTTATCAAGTCAGAGGACTTAGGGCTGCACCAAGGTGCTGACTTAGTGATGCACGAAGCCAATGCTGTTGAGAATGCTAAGGACAGGATGAATTACTATGTAGGCCAATTTCTGATTGAGTTGTATTAATACCTAAACACAAAGATGTGATATTCAAAGCCTGTACCTGCATCAACCTTGAACCAAGAGGAAAGATCACTGCCGTATCCACTGACCTACCACTTCGGGAAGCACTAACAGGGTTTGAGACATATATTTTGCAGAGATGATTATTTCACAAAAAAATGTATATACGGACCTTTTTTTTAATTTCAACTAATAGTTTATCTGAAGAAAGACATTGATTTTGGGGTGAGGTACACTTTAACTCTGTCAAATGTTATTAATACACCTTTTTTTCTTTGAGTATTCAGAGGGTTATAAAGATGAAAGGGTGGCGATGCATATGTTCCTAAGTTTTTAATTGGAATAAGAGAAAGAAAAAAGACAGATCCAAAATTGAATATTATTCAAAACTTACTTTGACTACAATATATCTTTCGCCTAAACCTATATAAGAAAAATTAGATAAACTTGGTTTCATTTATAACTACTAACAATCAGACCAGCACTAGCCCATACACAAATACGTCTATACTCTATAGTGTTTACAATTAAAATTCTAACTATTTTAAGTTTTGCTTCTTTAAAACAATTTTGCTGCATGTTTCACTGCCCGAAACCAATTAGCTTGAAATAAAATCTCAGTCAAAGATCAAGTGTTTTGGAGATCTGCCTAACTGTATGTCCCCTCAGCGATTAAAGACAGCAGTGAAGATCATTAACACTTATGTGTGACATGATAGAAAATAAAATAAGAATATGGCTTTTAGATTTAACACATTGTGGATATAGTGACAGTTTTATCATAATGCTAAGAAATGTTTTAATGTTTATTTAACTGCATAAACTAACTGAAGTTAAATGATCATCTGTTGGAACAATTCAGAAAACAGTGGCCTGCAGCAGCTTTTACAGTCAGTGCAATGATAATATTTGTGCATGCACAAAAGATCTTTGTTTATGCCAAAGGCATGCAGCTTTTGTTCTGACTGACTGTGTGTATCCCCTCTGTTTCTCACCCTCCACTTACTCGCTCTCTCTTGTCTAACTCAGTTTTTAATGAACTGCTGGAACGAAACCAAAGACTTGGACAATCAAAAAGAGTGTCTGTCAAATACAACAAAGTTCACAGCTTTTCTTTTTCTTAATACCATGTAACAATAGCCATCTTTTTAAGGTGCTTAAGTAAAAAATAAACCTCTCTGTCTTATGAAGGTTTTTATTAACCTGTATTCAATAAAGCATGAGGCATTAACTTTTTTGTGCTGAATGCACATTTCAAATGTAAGCTGATTAAATAGTAGTTTTTTTAGAGTAGATCTGTTTTATCTCCTCTGTGTGTGTTTGTGCTTGATTACTCACTCGGCCGTGTCCTCCCAGCTACACCACTGACCCTGGTCCAGTTCCTGCATGTCTAGACTGAATTTGGCTAAGCAGAACTCCTTAATCAGGTCCTCGTACTGGGATCTGCAGCCTTGCGCCGAGACACACCGAGCCACTGCTAAGAGGACAGGGAGGGAGAAGAGTGAAAGGGTGAGGATCAAAAGAGAAAGATATGAGAGAAAATGAAGAGACAGAGCAAAAAGTAAAATGTGTGTTAAAGACAATTGTGGAGGTAATTATGTCCTAGTGCATAGTTAATGCAAAGGTAAAAAAGAAATATGGTTTAAGAAAATGCACAAGTTGTAATCACAGCAAGTAGTTGCCTGCCTGTAGACAAAACGACTTTCACTGTAATCATTGAACAGCGTCAACATCCACAGCAATCCCAGGAATCTAATGTTCTGATGATGCAGACCAGAAATGTAACGAGCTAAGCATAGATGATTTGCATTAATTGTACACAGAAATTACACACTTTATTCTAGGTTCCTATGTACAAGGACACCATCAAAAATCTTTTGGAAAAGTATACAAACACAGAATCCTCCTTTTTATTATATAAAGAATTATGTGCCTATGATTAAAAATGATGTGTGTGAAACAATGAAACATCCTTACTGCTTCAATATGACTGATAGGTAAAGCAGCGCCTATTTGATCAATTATTAAACCTCTTAACGGATGAGCAGGAGGTGTGAACATTTCCATTAAAGCTGGAGTTTTGGCTTTTCAGTCATCAATAAGTTGTTAGGCATTGACTTTTTGTTGCTTTGAGAGTTAAAATCCAACAACTCAACATTGCTCATAAAGAGAAAATGCTATTAATGCTTCTAAAGATGGATCCATAAGCTGTTGAGTTAACTGCAGTCATTTTTTTAGAGTAAACTTGAGTATAGATTCAAACTGACAAATTTCAACAAAGATTATTTTTTAAACCTTACGCTGCACCTTACTCTACGACTATGTTCCGCACCTAGATAAGATATAGACTGGAAAAACAGTGAAAAAAGAATAAATTGAGCAATCTCCTTCATTATTACAACATATCTGAAACCTTTTCACAGCCAGTGGATTAACTATAGCTTCATAAATACTTTATCCTCTATTACAATATGTCACTGAGTAATTACATTTTGGGCCTTGATTGAATTAAAGCTAATCAGCCTACAGACTAAAACATTAGACATAAGCTAAAATACTCCATAAGTACCGTAATAGCAATTAGATTTCCATGAAAATCTGAAGGACCAAATGTCTCATAATAGACAAATTCAATACTTTTAAACAAATTAACCCTTAACATCTTGTTTTGCTTGCTCTGCAATTAGAGGCACAAATGGAAATTTTACTGCAGGATAAAGCCCTGCCATATATCACTGATGTACAATGAACTATTAAGCACTTATAGCCATATAGAAAGCGAAGGGGTTTCCTTACAGAATAATCAATCAATAGTACAAATTTTTACTGAAATTTCTTTGTTATTCACTTCAGACCATTTTATTAAACTAACAGAAACCATTGCAATTTCTTTCATTTTCTTAGTGAAATTATTTTATCTGTTGTTGTTTTTTTATTATTTGTTTTTGGATAATTCTTTGCATCTAGATAATTTTATCCCCTTAACGTTTGGCGTCGGCTAAAACCTATTAGCTCCTTAAGCCTCTTGGGCCCAATGGAAGGCAATAACGTTTAATAGGCTATACAGTCTTCCATTGTTCTCTAAGCCCAGACAAATGTTTGTATTATACTTTACTAATTACCAATAACTGGAAATGTCCTCAACTGCTGCCTTATACTGAACTCCCCTTCAATGAAAAAAATGCTGCAATCAGTTTTGGCATTTACTTAATCATATTTGGTTACTTTAAGACAATTTTTCAGGTTTGGAGGGTAGGACATAAAACAATTATGTGTTTTTCAGTCTTCTTTTAATGTCAAACACAGTCCACCAAAACAACTGGAAGGTTTTGTAGATTGATTAATTTCCTTAATTATATTGTTAATATAATCCATAGAGGTCGTCATAGCTCTTACCATTTGTCATCCCACATCCACTCATTTGACCGGAATTTGAACTTGACCAGTTCCCAAATGGGTGTCACACACAGCCTAGTTGTTTCCTTCCAACTAATTCCTCCACTTCTTCTTACCAGCAATGTTTTCTATCACCATTGGTTCAGACCTGCAAACACTGAAAGCTGTGTTTCACCCTTCATCTCCACCTCATCTGCTATACTTTATTCTTCTTGTACATGTTAATGGCGGCTCTCTGTTCTGTGATGGTATCTGGATAATCTGAGCCCTCTAACCAATAAAAAACTTTCACCTAGTTAAATGATGCGCTGTCAAAGTGGTGCAATGACCTCAGAGATGTTCAAAGATAACAGGTTAACTCCATCGGTCCAGCTGGTTATAAAAGTTATCAGTCATTTTATTCTCTGCCACTACAGCAAAAATAGCTTTTTATGAGGATTAGCGACAGTTAAACTATTTTCTCAGTTGGAGAAAAAAAACTCTCGTCCTTCTCCTTCTCTAGGCATTAAGCTCTTTAGCATTTCTTTGCAGAAAATATTGAACACAAAACACCAATTTAGACTTCATTAGTTTTACGATCTCCATCCGATTTTTCACTAAATCAAACAATACTAGTTGCTGGTTTCATAGCTTCTGTTTTAAATGATTTACATTTCAAGTGTGTATGATGCTGTCCTTATCATAAACATGATTCAAGATTTTTATAGCCAATCCAAGGTAAATTTGTGTTTTTTATGAAAAAGATTTAAAAACAGCAATATGTCATAAGTGCTAAACATAAACCTGAAGAGGACAGTCTAATAAAGTCTCAGTCATGTTACACAACAGGGTCATAAAACAATACAATTTGGTTATCCTTTAATGAGGTAAACACCAAAACTAATAAATAGGTCTTTAGAATAGATTTAGAAATGACCAAAGAAAAATGTTCCTGTCTAACAGCAAACTGCTGCTTAACTGTGACATCATACAAAACCCCTTAGACGTTTTAATACTACCTTGGCCGTGCAGCAAATAATGGTCAGCTGATCTGTGCAACCAGGACAGAGAATGCATTTTCTATAGCTTAGAGAGGCAGTGAAGTGTAGGGCCATTAAAAGATTAAAAAGATAATAAAGAAAAAATAAAATGAGCTCTAAAGTAGAAAGACTAGAGGAGTAAGGATGAGACAAGAGTAATCTGCTGTCCCCGATTGATAGCCTTGCAGCAGCAGTTTGACAAATAAACCTCAGGAAAATATGGACTAGTTTTTGATTGAGTTCATTTCTATATTTAGCTTTATATAACTGTCAATTTGAAAACCAAACTTGAGTTAGATGATTTCTTGTACTGTGCCAGAGAGCCCATAACCCTTAGAAGAGACTTATGATGGGGCCAGAGACCAAAAAAAATATTTATCCTAATATAAAAAGTCAAGAGCCATCCAAGACAGTCATTTAGCATCTGCATCAAGTGGTTATCCATTCATGTCAGGGGCAAATAAACCTGAGCAAAGATAATGATTACAATTTATTGGGCTGTTTCACATATTTTATGGGTTGTAGTAACAAGGTGGTTACTGGTGTAAAGGGTTACCCATTTATGGCTTAAAATCCACAAATAATCCTGTCATTTCATACGCTTTGCTTTTATAGAGAAACCAGACAAATGTTGAGTTAGTCTTTTCTTCACCAAATTTATTTGTTGTGATTCTACTTTAGAATGGTAAGCCAATGTTCATTAAATAGTGTGATAATTAGGTATGTCTCACCTTTTTATTGATTGATATTGACCTAAAACTTTATATCCATCATCCATATATATATATATATATATATATATATATATATATATATATATATATATATATATATATATATATATATATATATATATATATATATATATATACATACATACATACAGGACTGGGTCAAGGGGGAAGCCATCTCAGCAGGGATGCGTAGACTTCCCACTCCACAAACTTTCCAGCTCCTCTGGGCGATGCTTAAGGCATTACCAGACCAGCTCATTTTAGCCGCTTAGATCAGTATATCAAGAGATTTGCCTTTTGGCTTTACTCACTCCCCACCACAATAAACCAGTGCATTAAAAAAGCAGCCAGGCCGATTCATTCTTGCTCTTGTGCTGCATTCTCCCCTCACTCATAAAGAGGACCCCAGAGTACTTGAACCCGTCGACTTAAGGCAGGAAGAAGGCAATCCACCTTTATTTGGTCAGGACCCCTGGCCTCAGACTTGGAGGAGCTTATCTTTATCTTGGCCTCAGCTGTGAACCACCTTAATGAAGCCAGTAGAAATACTTCATTTGCAAAGAGCAGAGATTCTGCTCCCTAAACCAGAGCGCTCCTGCTCTTGGCTGCACCTGGAACTCCTGTCCACAAAAGTTGTGATAGCAACCGCTGACAGATGGTGGCCCTGCCGAAGCCCCCATGTCTGACTTAATGCCAGAAATGCAGACCACTTTACTGCTCACTGGTTATCTACCATCTGACTGTCATGTTGTTTCACATCGGTAATGTTGTAAATTGCAATTGTTACATTTTTGTCCCCCCCTTGATTGAAACTACAGTACAGTAACTGCAGCTTAACAATCAAAACAGTAGTCCTGCTTAGGATATGCTGTAATGATTAGAATGACAGTTCTTTTGAAAAAACCCAATTCCTAAAATTAGTTCAGTGAAACTCTTTCTCTTAAACACGTGCCCAACGCCTTTTCTCTAGGACTGGTGCCCTGCATTGGCAGCTGTGGCTACAATGTAGCTTGCCACCATGAGTGTTGGTATGGTTGAATTACAGAACGTGGTGCCTTGGAGTCCCCTGACTTGAAAATGAACTATATAAGTACAGGACATTTAAGACAAACTCATGAAAGTACAACACCATAGGAGAAAATTACTGTTAAGATTCTAGACTATTTAAAATGCTTAATTGAAGAATTGGCATGTTTTAAAGGATTTTTTGAAAAATAAATTAACCTATGCAAATTTAAATAAGTATTATTTAGCTCATATTTAGGTCATGATTTTAGGCTTTTTGATTTATTCTGTGTATAATACATTTTTTGTGAGTGGAAAATCTTTCCA